TTCACAACCCCATTCTTCGCAACGCTCCGTTCCTTCGCTACTTGAACATCTTCCAATGCCCCACACGTTGACTTTTCTAACCCCTCTAGTCCGTAGGTGCCTTTACCTACAGATTTTTGATATTTTCTTCATCGCCAATCATGGCCTATTTACAGTGGAATATCCGCGGCCTCAGGGGTAATCGGGGTGAGCTTCAGATGTTGCTTTCCAGGGTTTTCCCATGTTGGTGCTTGCTTACAAGAACCAAAATTAAAACTGGGCTGTTTTCCAACCTATCTCAGGCTATAATTTATTGTATTCTTCGGTCTTTCTCAGATGGGACCTTTTAAATTGAAAGTGCCTTCTTCTACGCAATGATATTCCGTACTGTCAACTATTTGTCCATACCTCGCTGCATTACACTGCAGCCCGTATCCACTTGAAAAAAGTGGTTTACAATATGTTCTTTATATCTTCTCCTTCTCGAGCATTTTCTACCCCAGACTTTGCCTTTCTTGTTTCATCCTTACCACCACCACTTCTGTTACTTGGTGATTTTAATGCCCCCATTTCCTCTGGGGGGGGTCTCATTGTGACTCACGTGGCATTCGTTGGAGGCTTTTCTTGCCTCTCACCCCCTCCATTTTTTTTAAATACGGGTACTCCCACCCATTTTGATCCTCGTACTCATACTCTCTCTTGCATCGATCTATCAGTCTGCTCTTCCCCTCACTGCACTAGACTTCACCTGGTCTGTTCTACCAAGACTTACAGGGACGGCGATCATTTTCCGATCATTCTTACTTCTCCTTCCATTCACCACCTTCCCGTAGCCCTCGCTGGCAATTTGATCGGGCCAAATTGGGATCTTTACTCACACCTCACTGCTTTTAGTGAGGTTCCTTCTTCATCCTCCATTTGATGAGCTCCTACAATCTTCTCGACATCAGTTTATAAACCCCAGCTTCTCATTCTATACCCCCAAACCTCAGGCAGGCATTCTCAGAAGTGCGTGCCTTGGTGGTCTCCTGCTTGTGCTCGTGCAGTACGTTTGAAACGTGCTGCATGGGGGAGGTACCGGTACAATAGAACCGTGAGAGACTTGTTGATTTTAAGCAGAAGCGTGCGATCGCTCGCCGTTCATCGTGAAGCTAAACGCACTTGTTGGCGAAGACTATGTTTCCACCATCACCTCTGCTTCTTCTATGAGTTGCAGTCTGGAAAAAAGTGAGGAAATTGAGTGGTAAATACTCTCCTGAACCGGCTCCTGTTCTACGGGTCACTGGTGTTGATATGCAAAAACCCCCTCGACGTTGCCATTGAACTTGGCAAAACATCTGGTCCGTATTTCCCGAGGGCTCCATCTATGCCCCTCGTTTCTTTCCTCAAAGTCTGCCAGAGAGTTAGTACACCTTGGACTTTTCTTCTCTCGGAGAAGAACAGTATAATGTGCCTTTTACACTTCAAGAAATGGGGCAACGCTCTCAGCTTGCCGATCATCGGCAGCTGGGCCCGATGACATTCATATTCGTATGTTACAACATTTACATCGGTCAGCCCTTGTAGTCCTCTTACACCTCTTCAATCTTATTTGGGCACAAGGAGTTCTTCCCAGCTGTGGAAATCTGCCATTGTTCTCCCTTTCCGCAAACCGGGTTACAAGGACATGATGCCTCCCACTTTTCGCCCCCTCGCTCTTACAAGTGCAAATTTGCAAAGTGATGGAACGCCTCGTAAATCGACGTTTAATGTGGTATTTGAGACTCACAACAGTCTCTCCGCTAGTCAATATGGCTTTCGTAAGGGTCGTTCTACCATAGACCCCTTACTACGCTTGGATACGTATGTTCGTATGCCTTTGCGAATAATCACTCAGTTTTGCCATATTTTTTGACCTTGAGAAGGCATATGACACAACTTGGAGGTATAATATTTTGGCCCAGGCCCCTTCCTTAGCCTCCGAGGCAATCTACCATCCTTCCTTAAGAACTTTTTAACTGACAGACATTTCCGTGTTCGAGTCAATAATGTTCTTTTCCCCCGGGCTTCGTCCAAGCTGAAGGTGTCCCTCAGGGATGTGTTTTTAAGCACAACACTTTTTCTCCTTGCTATAAATGATTTGGCCTCTTCTTCCACCCAATATTTGGTCATCACTCTATGTTTGACTTTCGCTATTGCTTGTGCAGGCGCTGACTGTCACCTTATTGCAGTTTCTCTCCAGCATGCGGTCGACCGTGTTTTCCCCTTGGGCCACCACACATGGGTTTTAAATTTTCAAGTACCAAAAATCACCAAATTTCTTTCACTAGACGCTCTGTTATCTCCGATCATCCTTTGTATCTCTATGGCTCCCCTATCCCCGAACGTGATACAGTCAGGTTTCTAGGCCCTTCTCTTTGACCGTCGGTTAACCCGGAAACCTCACATTACCTCTCTGAAGGCAACTTGTCACAGCCGGCTAAACCTTCTTAAAACCCTTGCTCATCTTTCCTGGGGAGCTGATCGTCGAAAATCTGCTTCGCCTACATTCGCCCTCGTTTATCGAAAAATCGATTATGGTGACCAGATTTATTCCGCGGCCTCTCCCGCTACTCTCTCTAGCCTTAACTCTATCCATCACCAAGGCTTACGTTTGTGCCTTGGTGCTTTTCGCTCTTCCCCTGTTAGAGCCTTTACAGAAGCAAATGTTCCATCCTTGTTGAAACGCCGTGATGCCCATTGCCCTTTGTTACTATGTACGCTCTCAAAGATCTACACAATCTTCCATTTATAGAATGGTCACCGATATTAGTAGACATTCTTTATTCGTTCGCCGCCCCTGTTTGCTCCGTCCCTTTTCTCTTCACCTACATTTACTCTTGTCTTCCCTTCAGTTACCACCTTTATATGTTCATGTAGATCTCACTTTTCCCTGCCCCCCTGGGGAAGTTCCAGCTGTTCGGGTCTGTTCTTTCTCAATCCCTTGCTCGAAAGCTCAACTGGCCTACGGTGGCTTCCCGCTCTCTTTTTCTTGATCACTTCCACTCCCATTCTCATGCCACCGCTGTGTACACAGATGGCTCTAAGTCTTCAGACGGCGTCGGATTCGCAAACGTGTTTCCGGACAGCGTCGTACGAGGGCATTTACTATCTTCAGCTAGCATTTTTACTGCTGAACTGTATGCCATTCTTGCAGCACTTTTCGTATTGCATCTATGCCTGTGTCATCATTTGTAGTAGTCTCAGACTCCCTTAGTGCTCTACAGGCTATACGAAAATTTTTATACATCTCATCCCCTAGTTCTCCGTATCCAACTTTGGCTACGCTGTATCTCTACCAAACATAAAGATATTGTTTTTTGTTGGGTCCCTGGTCATGTCGACGTACAGGGCAATGAACAGGCAGACACTGGGTGCGCGGTCAGCAGTATATGACCTACCAATTTTTCCCATCGAGGTGTTCCATTTCTGGACTATTTTGCTGCAATAGCTGCCCACCTTCGCACCCGTTGACAACAACGTTGGTCAACTCTGCTCGGTAACAAACTTCATTCTATTAAACCGAGCATTTGGTTACTGGCCGTCTTCTTGTCATCAGTGCCGAAGTTGGGGAACCACTCTCTCCCGCCTTCGCATTGGCCACACTCGTCTTACTCATGGGGATCTCATGGAGAGGCACCCTGTTCCTCTTGTGAGCAGTGTCCAAGTTCCAGTATCGATTAGCCACATTCTGTTAGACTTGCCCTCTCTATCAACGAGCACGCAGAATTTACCCCCAACGTCGTCTTCGTTCTACTACTCTCTCTTACCTTCCCTTCTTGTGATGGACCCTCCTTTAATCCTGACTCTCTCATTGACTTCTTGACAACGACCGATTTACTCCACAAACTCTGATGGGTACTTTTCGCACTCCCCTCAGCCCTTTCTGGTTCAGTCTCTTGCTGCCCTTTACCCTTTCACCATCCACTGCCCCGCTGTTATCCGTAACCTGTTGCTCATCCATCTCCCTTTTGCCACCTGATGCCCTCACTTCCTTCCTGCCCTGCAGCGCTGTATAGTCCTTGTGGCTTAGCGCTTCTTTTTGATTATAATAATAATAATAATAGGAAAATGATAGGATGGATTATGAGAATCATCAAAACTAGGGATACCAAACCCGTGATGGTTCTCTTCAAATAGGCTGGAATCCCGTCAAGGGAGGTTCCTTGACGCTGGTGAGGGGCTCTTGATCTAGGGAATTAGATCTGAATTGAGCCTAAATACTTTCTATCCCCCCACATACACTATATAATCCTACGGGTTTAGTGCTACCCCATGATTATAATTAGGCTGGAATATTGCTGTACATTAAAGGCACATTTCAAGGCAGGTGAAAATTTTAGACCTGGAGAATGTACAGAGAACTTTCACAGCACATATAAGTATGATAACACACCTAAATTTTTTGGATGGTTGAGATCCCTTGACTTGTACTCCCTGGAAAAATAAGTGAGAAAGATACATGATAATATACACTCGGAAAATCCTAGAGGGACTGTCTAAAATCTGCACACAAAAGTCACTCCCTTTGAAAACAAAAGACGAGGCAACATCCCCACAATAAAAAGTAGGGCACCACAAGTAGCTAAGACACAACACACTAAGTGTCAGGGAGCCAAGACTGTTCAGTTGCCTCCAGCATACTAAGGGGAATTACCAATAGGACCCTGGCTGTCTTCAGGAAGGCACTGGACAGGCACCTAAAGTCAGTACCCCAAACCCGCCGAGCTGTGGTTCGTATGTCGGTTTTACCTGCAGCCAGCAGTAACAAGCTGGTGGATAACCCCCGAGCCACCATGAGGCCTGTCATGGACCGGGCTGTGGGGGCATTGACACTAGCACCTTCCAGGCTGGTTGCTGTCTACCAGTCTATGTTGATCTATATTAGTATTGTAATTTAAATCTCTTCCAGATATATTTCCGTTTTGTGCAGGTGTGAAGGTACCAGCGACCGACAACTATTCCACCCTTGCATATGTACTGGTAGCATTAAATTCTTCATCAAGACTGTCTGGTACAATGGCTCCGCTACTCACGGAAAGAATATTGCGAACTCTGCAAAAATCGCTTTCACTTCACGCCAAGTAAGAGGCAATTTTATTCCATTGCTTTTTTTTTTTTAATGATTTTTTAGGAAAGTTATTTTGTAACACAATTTCAATATTTATATGCAGTTGTGCTTATTTCACATTGTTCTTATGAATTCTCACGTAACTAGGTCCCTTATTTTTTCTATGTTATGTAACGACATGCCCATCAGTGTCAAGTGCAAACTCCTGCGGGATGCAGATGACAGTGCTCTGATGTGTCAGGTAAAGACCCACAAGATATAGTAATGTAATAACACGGAACTGGAGTCCTGCAGCAAGTGGTTAGTAGACAACAAAACTATCATTACATCTCAGGAAAACAGAAGCCACACTCTTTGGCATGAAACATAAACTAAGAAGGGTAAATAATTTTAATGTCCAGTGTAATAGGGTACCCATCACTTCAGTTTCCTCAGTAAAATATCTGGGAATCCCCTATGACCCATGCATGTCAGGAGAATTGATAGAGAACAGTGTAGTAAAGAAAGCGAATGTCAGACTGAAGTTCCTCTGCAGACAAGCACGGTGTCTACCTACTGAGGCTCGTAGGACCCTATGTCTAACCCTTATAAAATGTCATATGGACTACGCTTGCCTTTCATGGTATTCTGCCTTGACAAAAAACTGAAAGATAGACTGCAGATCACCCAGAACAAAATGGTTGAAGACAGAATGTAGAAAACAGAGTAAAACAACTGATGTTAAATCAAGTTCAGAAAATTGCTCACAAACAGTGTCCAGAATATCTTGCTGCCAATTTTGTCAAGGTTGGTAACCAAAGCAATAATAGTACTAGGGGTAGAGAACACAACTTTGTAGTAGCCACAGTCAGTGGCCAGGCTTCAAACACTTTTTATTATACAGCAATAAGGAATGGAACAGACTTCCTGCACATGTCAAAGTCTGTCATGGTGACTTTTTTACCGAACAAAGCATTTAAATACCGAATTGTTCGAGTAAGGAGCTGTTCAAGTACTGAGGTTCCAATGTATGGCATTATTACTGGTGTATTTGTACAAGTTTCTAAAAATTGTTTATTTGATTTAGAGAGGATGAGAAGATATGGAGAAAGCAAATGGTTAGAGAAGTTGAAGTGTATATTGTGTAGCAACTTTGTGATCCAGCTCTGCTGATAGCTAAGGTTACTGTGAATGATAGCATCAACAGCAGTTAATATACAGTACTTTTAAGATTGAGGTTAAGATGTTTATTTTGACAAATTACATGGTTGTACAGAGGAATATAATTGTTGGGTGTACATGCCAAAAGCCCCTTTGTATGCAGAGCATTTCAGGCAAACTTACAGATTAACTTAAGATTAGGAAGGCAATAATACATAGTTCAGGTAATGCTACAGGGTTTTCATAATTTTTACACAGATAATCCACACATAGGAGAGAGAACCTTTTGACGACATTTTGGTCCTATTTGGACCACTTACAAGTCACAATAACGCTGTGCGGGTTATTTGTGTATTGTTCCAGTTACTGTATTGTGCCTTTTTGTTCTGTAATTTTTTTTTTTCAGTATACTCTCCAGATATGCCAAAGAGACTGCCCATAGCAGACATTTTATCAGGCTTGGCTCGGAGTATGGGAACAGCGGTGCGGTACTGGTTGCACTATACACTGGTGGCTGTGGCATGGTTGGGTGTTGTTCCTCTCACTGCTTGCAGGATCTATCGCTGTCTCTTCACAGGCTCTGTGTCTTCTGTTCTCACCTTACCACTTGACATGCTGTCAACGTAAGTAAGAACTCTATTGTCATAAATTATGAGTAGACAACGAACTAGAACTGCAAAACATACTGAATAATAATGGTAGAATTACCAACAAATTGTTAGATAAATGGACACAGATGCAACTATTTTTTTTTTTTTTTTAACAAGTTGGCCGTCTCCCGAGGCAGGGTGACCCAAAAAGAAAGAAAATCCCCAAAAATAAAATACTTTCATCATCATTCAACACTTTCACCTCACTCACACATAATCACTGTTTTTGCAGAGGTGCCCAGAATACAACAGTTTAGAAGTATATACGTGTAAAAATACACAATATATCCCTCCAAACTGCCAATATCCCAAACCCCTCCTTTAGAGTGCAGGCATTGTACTTCCCATTTCCAGGACTCAAGTCCGGTTTCCCTGAATCCCTTCACAAAATATTATCCTGGTCACACTTCAACAGTTCGTCAGGTCCCAAATACCATTCGTCTCCATTCACTCCTATCTAACATGCTCACGCACGCTTGCTGGAAGTCCAAACCCCTCGTCCACAACACCACCTCTACCCCCTCCCTCCAACCTTTTTGAGGACGACCCCTACCCCGCCTTCCTTCCCCTACAGATTTATACGCTCTCCATGTCATTCTACTTCGATCCATTCTCTCTAAATGACCAAACCGCCTCAACAAACCCTCTTCAGCACTCTGACTAATACTTTTATTAACTCCACACCTTCTCCTAATTCCACACTCCGAATCTTCTGCATAATATTTACACAACAAATTGCCCTGCATGATTTTACACAACACATTGCCCTTAGACAGGACATCTCCACTGCCTCCAACTGCCTCCTCGCTGCAGCATTTACAACCCAAGCTTCACACCTATATAGTGTGACATTTTATTGTGGCAACATTGCGCTCTCCAGGAGCTTTGTCACACCATTATTGCGTGACAAAGTTCCTGGAGAGCGAAACGTTGCCACAATAAACGTCATATTAGTTGCATCTCTGTCCATATACCTAACAAAACACACCAAGCAGAGATTTTTCACGAGTCAGTATTTCACTATAAATAGGGCTTTATAAAATCTTGTGTGCAGCTTTGATACAGTCCTATTGAGGGAAAATGTTATCTAATATTTTTAGGAACTGCTCTTTTCCTTGTTTTTGTGCTTTTTTCTGTGTTGTAACAAATTTTGGAGTATCATTACACATGTTGAGATCTCTTGTAATAATGTATCCAGGCAATGTCATTCTAACATTTTGTTATGCTTGCAAGCATGCTCAAGTGATCATATACTTGTGATGATGGATTTTAAATAATTTAATTTTTTGTTTGTCCCAATAGAGATAACCTAGTATCAGATATCTTCCATGGGTGCTTTGTGGTGACATGCACACTAAGTGCTTTCATCAGTCTAGTGTGGCTCCGAGAACAGATCCTACATGGAGGAGGGCCAGATTGGCTTGATCAAGATGTACAGCATGAGGTAGGTGGTTTAAAATCTCATGCCAGCTAATGCTACAGAAGTGGAAGGGCTTTATTTCATAGTCAACTAGAATTTTAAAATTTAGAGGATTATATTGATGTTTTGAAGCAGGTAGTGTTTTGAATATTTTGTGAAGGGATTCAGGGAAACCGGTTATCCGGACCTGAGTCTTGGAAGTGGGAACCAAAGTGCCTGCACTCTCAAGGAGGGGTTTGGGGTATTTGCTGTCTAGAGGGACATCAAAACCGTTGTATCTGTGTACCTCTGGCAAGACAGTGATAGTGTGAATGATGGTGAAAGTGTTTCTTTTTTCAGATCACCCTGCCTCAGTGGGAGATGGCCAACACGTTAAAAACAAAAATGTTTTTAGTAGGGTAACCCAAAACTGGAAACACTCACCAACCATGCATGAAAAGCTGCTTTTCCAGAAGTGTGTAGATATCACCATTCAAATAACCCTCATATACTTGTCCTGTTTCCTGACAAATCTTACTTAGCCTAACCTTCATAATGTATATGTACTGTGTTTTGAAAGTTATGGCATAACTTTATCAAGATTGTAGCCCAATAACTAAAATTTGAGTCTTTTACTCTTCTATAAATAATAATATTACCATGTATGTTGCAAATATGTTTCATAAGAAAATGAGAGGGAAAGCTTTAATGAAAATATTTTTCTTGCAGCATGAGCCCCCTGGAAACTTCGGAGTTGTTAATCAAGTAAATGGTCAGGTTCCAGTACAGCCAGCCAATGAGAATGCAGCTGCTCCAGTAGAAGGAGTCAATGATAATGCAGAGATTATTGAAGACCCGGTTCATCAAGAAGTAGTGCCTGTGATAGCGAATCCCAATATTGCAGAAGGTTAGTTGGTTTCATCTCTATTCAGGTGCAGAATCAACTTGACTGTGATGGCTATATAGGTCTATACAGACATGGTATATATTGTGATGTAATCAGGGGTGCCCAAGCTGCGGCCCGTGGGCTGCATGTGGCCCTTCTAGGAAATGGATACGGCCCTCACACAAAATTATGAATTCACTTTTATGTAGGAATTGTGCGGCACACACATCACACATTTGACCATCAAAAGTGGCCCACATTCTATAGAAGGTTGAGAACCACTGATATAGTGGTTTAAAATTGACAACTGAAAAATGAGACACTAGCTCAACATTTGGGAATTTTTATTGAGGAAACGTTTTGCCAGCCAGTGGCTTCTTCAGTCCAGCACAGAGAAGAACAGTGGAAGATGAGAAGTTTGAGGTAATCAATCCCATAACCTGGAGTCAGTCTTGATGGACTGAACACATTGAAGCCACTGGCTGGTGAAACATTTCCTTAATAAAGATTGCCAAATGTTGCCCAAGTGTCTCATTCTTCAACATAGTATATATTGCTAACAAATATATATGCGATAGAGAGATTTGCAACATTAGGTTACTTTTATATGGAATGTTTTGCATACCAGGGTCTTTATCAATTCAATACAAAGACAGAAATGAAGAACGATTTATACGAAGAGGCTGCTGGAAAATACCCTACGTGTGTGAGAGGCAATTTAGAGACTTGCACGAATATTCTTGCTGTGTTCAGAGTGCTAATAATGTCCATGTTGTTTACAAACAGGAATAACTATGACCACTTGATGAACTGGAAAGATAGTTTTATTTACAAGATGGTTGTACAGGCCATGGAAAACTCCTTATCTCCATAGTTTTGGCTAAATTAATCTAAGAATTAATCTAAGTTTGCCCGAAATGCCTAGCCTTGCTAGGTGTTCTAGTGGCCCCCCTCTGTAATTAGTATTTTATTACATGTAAACCACACAATAACCAAAATCTGTAAACCCCGCATTGTAATCCTTATAGAGAATAAACTTTGATTTGATTTGATAAATTGATTTTTATCCATTCGAACAGCTGTTAAATGACAGCCATGTGTATGCTTCCAAATTCTTAAAATCAAAATTCTATATCTCAATATTAACCCGTAAACGGTCCAAGCAGATCTACATTCACATGCGTAGTGCTCCAAAAGTAGATCTACGTTTTTTTTACATATTTTCAAATATAAAAAAAAAGTAGATCTGAGTTTTTTACACATTTTCAATTGTAAAAAAAAAAAAATTACTTTTTTTACATACTATCAAATTTTGAAAAACGTATATATACTTTTGGGGGCCGTTTACGGTTAAAATACTGTGAATAAGACCTTCGAATGATATATTTTTTTAAATAAAGTATAATAAAAGTATAACAGCTAGCTTGTGCAAATGTTTTTGAAAACTATTGCACAATTTTTCAGGTTAATGAGGGTGAACTTTTACACGAGGGTATACCAGCCAATAATAATCTGGATCCTGGGGCCGCTGCAGATGATGTCAACTGGAACCCAATAGAATGGGACCGAGCAGCTGAGGAGCTTCCCTTGGGAGCGGCTGTTGGGTCTTGATGGATCACGGGTTTTTTTCGGGAACATGTGTTTTGGGTTGTTTCTCTAAACACAATGTTTATTCTTGTCTTTGGTAAGAATTCAAGATATCTTGCATTTTGTAGTATCTTTTGGTGTAAGCCGATGCATGAACATTTTTAATTAATGTTTGTTAGAAGCGAAACATTTTCTGGCCAAAAACATTCAAGCTTAAATTATACAGCTAGAAGACTATACATTAAAATAGATTTTGATGCTGGTGAAGAGATTTTGGATTCAAGAAATCAGAAACTTTCCCTTCTTTTAAATCTGTTACATCCTACTCAAAAGGTGCTGTATGACTCCTATGGGTTTAGTACTTTGCCATGAATGCAATAATCTTTAAAAGCCAATTAGTAAAGGGTGGGAGGGTTTTGTTATTAACTATTGCTCTGAAATCGTTCTTTATTTAACCCGTAAACGGTCCAAGCAGATCTACGTTCACGTGTAGTGCTACAAAAGTAGATCTAAGTTTTTTTACATATTTTCAAATATAACAAAAAAAAAGTAGATCAAAGTTTTTTTTACACATTTTCAAATGTAGAAAAACAAAACAAGATTACTTTTTTTACATTCAAATGTTGAAAAAACGTATAAAATACGTTTGGATCGTTTATGGGTTAAGATGCAATTCAGATGCTCCATTAGTCAAACCACCCAGAAAGCTCTAATTATTATTTTTTCTTTTAGGAAGAAAATATTTGAAGGAAAATTTATTTTAATTGCAAGAGACTTGAGGCAAAAGCTGTCAACCTGAAAGATATTTAAACTATTTCAATATAGAACCTAAGTAGTAGGTTGGTAGACAGCAACCACCCAGGGAGGTACTACTGTCCTGTGGTAGTAGGTTGGTAGACAGCAACCACCCAGGGAGGTACTACCGTCCTGTGGTAGTAGGTTGGTAGACAGCAACCACCCAGGGAGGTACTACCATCCTGTGGTAGTAGGTTGGTAGACAGCAACCACCCAGGGAGGTACTACCATCCTGTGGTTGTTGGTTGGTAGACAGCAACCACCCAGGGAGGTACTACCATCCTGTGGTAGTAGGTTGGTAGACAGCAACCACCCAGGGAGGTACTACCATCCTGTGGTAGTAGGTTGTTGACAGCAACCACCCAGGGAGGTACTACCGTCCTGTGGTAGTAGGTTTGGGAGCAGCAACCACCCAGGAGGGACTACCGTCCTGTGGTAGTAGGTTGGTAGACAGAAACCACCCAGGGAGGTACCCCCCCCGTTCCGTGGTAGTAGGTTGGTAACGCAACCACCCAGGGAGGTACTACCGCCCTGTGGTAGTGTTGGAGACAGAAAAAACCCCCAGGGGGACTCCCATCCTGTGGTATGGGTTTTGGTAAAGCAACCCCCCCAGAGAGGACTACCGTCCTGTGTAGTAGGTTGGTAAAAGAAACCCACCCGGGGAGGACTCCCGGGGCCTTTGGGGTTTTTGGGTAGACGCAACCACCCAGGGGGTATACCACCCTGTGGTAGTAGGTTGGTAACAGAAACCACCCGGGGAGGTACTACCGCCTGTGGTAGTGGTTGGAGACAGCATCCACCCAGGGAGGTACTACCACCTGTGGTAGTAGGGGTAGGCACAACCACCCAGGGGGTACTACCACCTGGGTAGTGGGTTGGGTAGACAGAAACCCACCCAGGGAGGTACACCGTCCTTGGTAGTGGGGTTGGAGACAGCAACCACCCAGGGGGGACAAACACCGTGGTAAAGTAGGTTGGGAGACAGCAACCCCCCAGAGAGGACTACCGTCCTGTGGTAGTGGGTTTGGTAGACAGCCCCCACCCAGGGAGGTACTACTGTCCTGGGTTTGGTGGGTTGGTAGACGCAACCACCCAGGGGTACTCCCATCCGTGTATAGGTTGGAGACAGAAACCACCCGGGGAGGTACTCCCACCTGTGGTAGTAGGTTGGTAGCGCTCCACCCAGGGAGGAAACTACCATCCTGTGGAGTGGGTTTGGTGGGCAGCAACCACCCAGGGAGGTACTACCGCCCTGGGTAGTGGGTTGGTAGACAAACCACCCGGGGAGGTACTACCATCCTGTGGAGGGGTTTTGGTAACAGCAACCACCCAGGGGGTATACCGCCCGTGGCATTGGTTTGGTAACAGCAACCAAACCCGGGGAGGTACTACCGCCCCCTGTGGTAGTAATTTGGGTAACAGCAACCACCCCAGGGAGGTACTACCATCCTGTGGTAGTAGGTTGGTAGGCAGCAACTACCCAGGGAGGTACTACCATCCTGTGGTAGTAGGTTGGTAGACAGCAACCACCCAGGGAGGTACTACCGTCCTGTGGTAGTAGGTTGGTAGACAGCAACCCCCCCAGGGGGGTTTCTACCATCCTGTGGTAGTAGGTTGGTAGACAGCATCCATCCAGGGAGGTACTCTGTCCTGTGGTAGTGGGTTGGGTTTAGACAGCAACCACCCAAGGAGGTACTACTATCCTGTGGTAGTAGGTTGGTAGGCAGCAACTACCCAGGGAGGTACTACTATCCTGTGGTATTAGGTTGGTAGACAGCAACCACCCAGGGAGGTACTACCATCCTGTGGTAGTAGGTTGGTAGACAGCAACCACCCAGGGAGGTACTACCGTCCTGTGGTAGTAGGTTGGTAGACAGCATCCACCCAGGGAGGTACTACCGTCCTGTGGTAGTAGGTTGGTAGACAGCATCCACCCAGGGAGGTACTACCGTCCTGTGGTAGTAGGTTGGTAGGCAGCAACCACTCAGGGAGGTACTACCGTCCTGTGGTAGTAGGTTGGTAGACAGCATCCACCCAGGGAGGTACTGCTGTCTAGCCAAGTGAGTGTAAAATGAAAACCTGTAATTGTTTTACATGATGGTAGGATTGTTGGTGTCTTTTTCCTGTCTCATGACTATGAAAGATTTCAGGTATGTCTTGCTACTTCTCCTTACACTTAGGTCACACTACGCATGCATGTACAAGCATATATATACACACACACCCCTCTGGGTATTCTATTTTCTTACTAGTTCTTGCTCTTGTTTTCCTCTGATCTCCATGGGGAAGTGGAATAGAATTCTTCCTCCATAAGCCATGCAAGTTGTAAGAGGTGACTAAACTGCCAGGAGCAAGGGGCTAGTAACCCCTTCTCCTGTATACATTACTAAAGTTAAAAAGAGAAACTTTTGTTTTTCTTTTTGGGCCACCCTGCTTCAGTGGAATATGGCCAGTTTGTTGGAAAAGAGGGAGGAAATACAGAAGCTTCATTCTACTGAATTGAGTCTTTTTTTCCATTTTTTTTTAACATACTGGCTGTTTTCACACTGAGATAGGGTGACAAAAAAAAAAAAAAAGAGGAAACACATTTACTCTCATTCATTCAGTTGCTGTCTTGCCTAAAAGTGTGCTGACATTTTATTACAGTTTAGATGGTTCTCTGAGTTGCAACATCCCCTCCCCTCCTTCAGAGTGCAGGCACTATAGACTCGGTGTAATACAAGATCCTCAGAAATATATGTATTGTACATGTTATGCATATATAGTACAGTAGACCCTTAGAGGGAGCAAATGGCTGGTAATGATTGTGGTGGAGAGAGATGAGATTGTTTTACCATGGTTGTAATAATAATGAAAGTTCTGTCAGTAAGAGACTTGGTCCATTGTTTCTGAATCATTTGACTTAGCGGGTTTGTCCCGCTTTTCCATAGTTCGCTGTATTGAAGGTCGACTGTATACATACGTATAATCACCACTGTACCGTATTTCCTATTAATCTAAGTCATTGTTCTCCTCAGCATTTTGTCCATATCACATTGGACATTTTACCATAGTGGGGTTCAAGCTGAAAGGTGG